GGAGACATGATTGTAGATCTTGTCTTGCTGATCACTTGCTTATTTAAGTTTCTATCTATCAATAATAGTTTTTCAGATATTTGGCAAAAACACAAAAAATTGATAAAAATCGTCATTAAAGGACAATTACTCCAATAAGGAGTCGTCTGACGATTTCGTCCATGCAGATTTATTTGTAGATCATTTTTGGAATATTACATTTCTCTCTATCTATTATAGTTTTTTCAGATATTAGGCAAACATGAAAAAAATAGTTAAAGTTTGTCATTTAAGGGCAGTAACTCTTATAAAAAGACGTCTGACGTTTTGCAGCACTGAAATAGAAAATATATAGATCTCATCATTCTGAACATTTTTGACACTGACAGATTTTCTCCATTCATAGAGGTTTTCAAGATTATAGACCAAACTTACATTTACCCCCCCCCCTCGCCCCCCCCCCATGTTCTGGCAGGTGGGGTCATCGGACACATTTTTTAAACTAGATACCCTTATGATGATTGTAGCCAAGTTTGGTTAAATTTGGCCTAGTGGTTTCAGAGGAGAGGATTTTTGGAAAAGTTAACGACAACGGATGCCAAGGCGAGCTAAAAACAGGACAAAAATATATTTTTAAAGCATTTGCTGAACCAAGAAAATGATGTCAAAGACCATGGTCATGTATCAGACAGAAACTTCAGAACAAAAGGCATTTATTTTCTAAAATGTAAACCTTTGTGCAAAAGAGCAAACACAGCTGCCTTAGATAAGCATCCTTGTTTATGATAATTATATTAATTCTACTTTGGTTTCTTATTGAATATTAATGTGTTCACAGGAATTTGATCAAAAGTGGCATCATTGTACCAGTAGAAAAATTGACCTTCAAATCTTCTGGTTGTCTTATAATTAGTACATTAATTGATAAAGGATATTATCACATTGTTGTAGTCTCCCTGTATCAGATATTTTTGGGATTAACATAATTTGATTATTAATAGTTTGTAGCAAAATTATTAATGTTTGCATTGAAACTTTGTAGTTTATTCTGGGCATTGCAAAAGATCATCTAAATGTATCAGTGGCGGATCCAGAGGGGGGCGTAGAGGGCGTACGCCCCCCCTTTTGCTTGCACTTTTTTTTTTTTTTTTTTGTAAAATGATTAATCAGACTAGACTTCGTGAACTTTGCCATTTACCGCGTATTTAATTTTTATGCGACAATTCTCTACTTATAAAGATATGTTTCGCTCGTATTTACTGTAATATATTATTGATTATGTCAAAATCATGTGATTCGCTACGGTGGAGTTGGACAGTGCGTCGAAAAAACGTCACTCAGTCATTTTGAAATTCAAATTACAGTAACACATTGCTTAGGCTGAGGATGACAAGCACGACACCTTCAAAGCGACAAAGGATTGAGCAAGAACGTATTTATTGACTTCTATTTCACAATTCCACCAAACAGAAAGTAATACTCTATTACTATTGAAAAAAAAGTTCCACAGCAATATTATTTACCTACGAAAACATGTTTAACCCCACACGACCCAGCCTATTAATAACATAGCTGAATAATGATCCCCAGTCAATAAGCTCTAGATAGATTTAAAGAAAAAAATCTGATCCTGATTTTTGCCTTAAACAAAAATTCTGGCCGTATCTGGATTGAAAACAATAATCTTGTCCACTTTGTTGCTATTAGAAACAAAAATTTCCTACAGAATTATTTAGCATTAAATGAACATGATGAATAAAAAAAATGGGCGTAATTTTTTTTTGGGGCCGGGGGTTTGCATGTAAATCCCATATCTGACCGGAATGTCTGTTTCGTCGAACTGATAAAATGAATACTTTTTTCAAGGCCCGACTGCAACCTGCCTGCTGGGTGTGGCCTTTATGTCTCCATTTGTCGACCGTCATTCATAAATTCGTTGTCATTTCTGACTCGTTCGTAGCCTTTGGTTGATTTGGAACCCCTCACTTCCCTTGTTGGGTGAAACATTTCAACCAAACATTTGGACAAAAATTGCTTGTTTGTCTTTCTTAACTCGTGTCGGTCGTATTGTAAATTTCATTGAATAGCCCGGCGTATATCTTGTTTACAACAAAAAATCCGTGAGGTAATGCTAACTAAACATACAACAAACGAGAATTTTCCATGTCAATTTTTTACTGACAAGTCCCACATCAAATATATTAGTACATAGCTTTGGATCCATCCAATCATTTTATAATAGAAAATTAATGGGGAGAATACGGCATCAAAAATGTCCAACCCTTACACTTTAACTATAAAGTATACATGCCCCACGTCAGGAACCGTTAAAAAAGTGCATTTTACACTTATTTTATGTTTTTAGCCAAAAAAAGGTCAAAAAATCAACATACTTCGTCCCCCTTCCAAAATCCAGGATCCGCCCCCTGTGTATTGTTTATAACGTTGCTACATATGATATCTATTATAATGTTTTGTGTCGCTTTCATATCTTCAGGGTAAGTTTCTCACATGGTTAGTCATCAATATCAAGAGTGTATGATTAGTATGATTTCATATCTTCAGAATTAGTTTCTCACATGGTAAACCAACAGTATCAAGCGTGTGTGATTCAGTATAATTTCATATCAGAAGAGTAAGTACTTTGAGGTTGCTTTCAGGTATTGCGAGTACACAGCTGCTTACAAGTACAAGGAATCTTGATGTAAAATATACATTTTCACGAACAGTCTATATGCATCTTAAGTGCTATACAGTCTATATTTGTTCATATGTTGTACTGTTACACCACTGTTCCGGGTTAGGGGAGGGTTAGGAGCCTGCTAACATGTTTAACCCCACCACATTCTGTGTGTGCCTGTCCCCAAGTCAGGAGCCTTTAATTCAGTGGTTGTCGTTTGTTGCTGTATATCATATTTGTTTTCTGTCATTATTTTGTACAAAAATCAGGCTGTTAGTTTTATCGTTTGAATTGTCTTATGTCATTTCAGGGCCTTTTATAGCTGATTATGCGGTATGGGTATACCAACTATACACCAAAGTCCAAATGAAGTGGAAGTAAGCAATTATAGGCAACCGTACGGCCTTCAACAATGAGAATAAATTGCTTCGCCGAGCACAGCTGGGTACGACTGCAGAGGTCCAACCCTGAACAGTTGGGGCAAAAATGGACGCAATATTCGCGCTTGATACATGTCTGAATTTGGATTGTAATTAAATATTTGACACATAAAAGGTTTCTGACACAGAATAACTGTAGTCAAAGAACTTAGAATTGGTTATATGATTTGAATTAATATTCAATTTTTTGCTTTTGTTTAATACACTTTGCTGTTGCGAATTGACCCCCCCCCCTTTTTTTTGCTTTTGTGCAAACCACTATGCTGTTGCGTATTAATAATAATCTATTTTATAATAGAATTTAAAATATGGTGTCAAATCTTTCATATGGATTTTTTTTGTAAAAAAAAAAAAGATGCAACATTTGCAGATATTTTTACTGGTCTTCCTTTATATGCATTTCTTTAAACACAATTTAAAAGCAGTGTAAGGGAGGTAATCAAAACGTTGTATTTGGATTATCTCCCTTACACTGCTTTTAAATTGTCTTAATTATTCATTAACCATTACTTTATACATAATTTAAAAGCAGTGTAAGGGAGGTAATTCAAATGATGTATTTGAATTACCACCCTTACACTGCTTTAAATTATGTTTTGTACTAAAGTATTTGTCCATTAACCAGGACACCCTTGTTTTCCCCCCCAATTCCTTAACTGTTGGTACCATAACCCCCAAAATCAATCCCAACCTTCCTTTCGTGGTATTGAACCTTATGGTAAAATTTCATCGAGATCGATTCACTTAAACTAAAGTTATTGTGCGAAAATTGTTCGGACGACGACGACAACGTCATACCAATATACGACCGCAAAATTTTTTTGCGGTCGTATAAAAACCCATACCGCATAGTCAACTATAAAAGGCCCCCGAAATTACAAATGTAAAACTAACGGCCTGATTAATGAACAAAACAATGCAATTACAGGCAACAGTACGGCCTTCAACCATGAGAAAAACCCATACGGTATAGTCAGCTATAAAAGGCCCCGACAAGAAAAATATGAAACAATCTACTAAAGTTGGTGTGTATTCTTTGATATTGTAAATTGTTTCTAGAGTGGTTTGTTTTTACTTTTACTAGTGATATGGTATATTGTTTCTAGAGTGGTTTGTTTTTACTGGTACTTGTGATATGGTATATTGTTTCTAGAGTGGTTTGTTTTTACTTGTACTCGTGATATGGTATATTGTTTTTATAGAGTGGTTTGTTTTTACTTGTACTAGTGATATGGTATATTGTTTCTAGAGTGGTTTGTTTTTACTGGTACTAGTGATATGGTATATTGTTTCTAGAGTGGTTTGTTTTTACTTGTACTCGTGATATGGTATATTGTTTTTATAGAGTGGTTTGTTTTTACTTGTACTAGTGATATGGTATATTGTTTCTAGAGTGGTTTGTTTTTACTTGTACTAGTGATATGGTATATTGTTTCTAGAGTGGTTTGTTTTTACTTGTACTCGTGATATGGTATATTGTTTCTAAGAGTGATTTGTTTTTACTTGTACTAGTGATATGGTATATTGTTTCTAAGAGTGATTTGTTTTTACTTGTACTAGTGATATGGTATATTGTTTCTAGAGTGGTTTGTTTTTACTTGTACTAGTGATATGGTATATTGTTTCTAGAGTGGTTTGTTTTTTACTTGTACTAGTGATATAGTATATTGTTTCTAGAGTGATTTGTTTTTACTTGTACTAGTGATATAGTATATTGTTTCTAGAGTGGTTTGTTTTAACTAGTACTAGTGTTTTGCTTATGTATTATACCATTTTTTGAAGAGTAAAGGGTTTTATCTCTAGGGATATTAACTGTGTTTCCTTTTACATAGACATGCCAAAACTTATTTGGAAACTCTGTTCCTATTCTAGTTTTACAATGAATAAAATTTAATAACAGATTTGAGACTGTTTTTTTTTATTTTCTCATCAAAGAGTTCATTTCTTAGCGCCTGTTTTCTTTTGGCTACCAGCTTTTCTAACTGTGACAGGTCTCTGACTTCTTATAATGGCACTTGCTCGTCTGACTGCAGCCTGAAATAATGATTAAACACATCAGGAACATATGAGAATGATAGAAAATTACAGGATGGTGCATTAAACTGCACTGAAATTTTACTACCTAATGAATTTTAATTAAACATATTACAGCTAAATACAATCAAAGCAAAAATGTTACATATGTTAATCCAGTAAAGTGTTCCATCAATATTGTTGTAATCTTTTTAAAATATCTCTTTGCAAATTGATTATGTCCACTTCAAACCTATAGTTAAAGAAGGAACAAAATTCATCCTTGAAACTTAACCTCACTACTGGAGCTGAAAATAGGGTCCAGGTCAGGTGACAATTACTAACAGACAGGGTCACACCAAGAACTACCTCTATACAAATTGTCATCTTTGCAAAAACTCAGATAATATTTTGAGATTGTTAGCAAATTGGTAATGATACCACAACTGGAAAAGTTATTCCTATGTCTTCCTTACAATTTTTTTTACAATTAAGACAAAATCTGGCCTTTAAATATTTTCAAGGATATATATAACAACTTCTTTTATGAATTTCATATTCCATGAAAAATAGTACAAACCATTTTAAGATCTTTTCTATATCTTTTATTCCTAATAAGTGTTCTAATGGAGGCCATTGTTCTCCTGGCACCTTTCTTCAGTTCTACTCTAGTGTAGGATTTTGCTGGTTTCCTGTGCCCTTCAATAAAAATATATCATTTAGAATTTATCTGGCTTATAATTCAATACAAACAATCTGAAAACGCATCACACAGTACAGCTGACTTATATAAACCCTGAAACCAACATTCAGAAATCCTTGTATAGTAGTTCCTGAGAAAGATGCGACGAAAATATTCATGGGACGGATGGATGGACTGACAGACATAGGTAAAACAGTATACCCCCACTTTTTTAAAGCGGGGGTATAATAAAGATCAGTTTAAATATTGTAATGACTTTTTACAACCCCTGTTGGAAACAGTGGTGACAATAAAGTAAGGTTTATCTCACACAAAAATTACAAGTTTTTTTTACAATAGTCTTGAAAATGTTCATCTAGCCAGTTCAGATACGTACATAAATAATGTTCTGCAAATCAGACTTTGAAAACAATTTTGACAGTGATTAAAATAACATCTTTCCAATGGAAAAATATTTATAAAGTTGTACAAATTATAATGACAAAACAATGTTTTCGAAAATTGAAATGGATTGTATTAACAATGACACTACGTTCGAAACAACTAAATCTAACTTTTCGAAAAAGTATAAATGACAAAGTTTTATTACTATAATTGTTAAATCAATTCTTATACTTTCAATGTAATTTCAACATTATAGAAATGATCAATGAATTACTATGAATAATAAATGGGGAATGTGTCCATGGGACACAGATGATGCCCCCGCTTGCATTTAATGTTATAAAGGGACATAACTCAATAAAAACTGTAAAAGTGACGCTACCCACATTTGTACTAATCAGAGTTTTGTGGTAATAAGCATTGTGTATAAGTTTCATAACATTTGGTTGAGGCAAACTTAAGTTAAGAGAACAGAAACCAACTTTAGGACATACGGACGGACAAAGGTAAAACTTAATACCCCCGCCGTAGTGGGCGGGGGCATAAAAAAAATTGAAACTGGCCTGTATTGGGGGGCATCATGACCTGACTTGGTATTTTTTTCAATGATTCTTAAAGCCCACTGTCAAGCAATTCCATGTATTTACTCAGATCACAGAAATTATGGCTTAGCATAGTTAGGCAATTATCATTAATTATTAAAATATGTCGAAATATGTGGTTGATCATCATTGTACCCAACATAATAAGAGTCAAAACAGCATATTAATTTAAAGTTTTCCAAGAAGAGACTTGCTGATGATGACAATAATAAGTAGATGTCCATGTTTAGATTTAGAAGACCCCATACTCATCAATTTTGTCATGGGACTCACTAAATATTGTTTGTGGAATCACCATTTTCAACAATGATGAGTCAGGATTCTCTATCTAAAATCCTATTAAGATCTCTGAAATCTACATTAATAGTTTTGTTCCAACTTACCTCTGCTATTTTTGGTAACCATGACCACACCTTTACCATCTTTGGAAGGCTCAACCCCAACAGTTTTTCGGTTAACTAAACCATTATAACGAAAGCAGTTCTTTGCTTTTAGATTATTGGGTTCCTAAAAAAACCAGTTACAAGTTGACATGTATATGGTAATAATTTATGGCCTTTATACAGAATAAAAAATCATAAATACAAGTTGAAATATAAATGGTAATAATTTAAGACCTTCATACAGAATACAATGTCCATGTTTTTTTAAGTTCTTTATTTTAGCATTTCTTATACCAATTATTTCGACTATTGAAAATAAAGGATAAAACCCATACTGCACTGGTTTTCAGCTGAAGTGATCTTTATAAGTTGTTACTGACAAATAACCCTTTGAACATTTGGACAAAGACACCACTTACCTACAAACATATATTCGCCCACAGAACATATTAGATATTAACTCTAGCTCTCTTTCTTGAGAAAACACTGTTTTAACAATTGTCAAAATTTACAAGTTTTAATACTCCTATCATAACTAGACAACAAATGGGGAGATCTTTTTTATAGGAGACCCAGATGTTTCATTCAAAATCTGGTCTAACCTAAAATAAGCTAGGTCCCTTGGCCTTTAAAAAAATAAATGGGGAATGTGTCCATGGGACACAGATGATGCTCCCACTTGCATATCATATAAAGTTATAAAGGGACACAACTGAAGAACAGTAAAAGTGACGCTACCCAAATTTGTACTTGATCTGAGTTTTGTGGTAATAAGTATTGTGAATAAGTTTCATAAAATTTGGTTGAAGCCAACTCGTTATTGAACGGAAACGAAAAATTCAGCAATTTTTCCATTTGTAAAGGGGCACAATTCTAGAACGGTTCAAGTGACACCACCAAAATTCAAAATTGATCTGTATTTTGTGGTAATATGTATTGTGTATAAGTTTCATAACATTTGGTTGAGGCAAACTAAAGTGAAAGACGGAAATGATTTTTCCATTTGTAAAGGGGCATAACTCTAGAACAGTTAAAGTGAGGCCACCAAAATTCAAACTTGATCTGTGTTTTGTGGTTATAAGCATTGTGTATAAGTTTTATAACATTTGGTTGAGGCAAACTAAAGTTAGAGAACAGGAACCAACTTAGGGACGTACGTATGTAAGTACGTGCAGACGGACATGGGTAAAGCTTAATGCCCCCTCCACTACGGCGGGGGCATAAAAAATCTTACAAATTACACTTAAAAATGTTAAATGTGAACATAGCAGAAACATCTTTGGGGGCGAATTACAATTTGAGACCATTACTAAAATCATGATTCAGTATACGTACAGTACTGAAAGTCTGTCTGCTGCCTTTCAGCAAGTAACTGGAATTGTTTCTGATGATTAACCACTGTAGATCTGCAGACATCGCCATTTTGTCTGGTCTGAAAATATCAAAAGAAGATTCCTTACATTTGCCACTACATATGCGTGTACATTGTACACTATGAACTTTTTTGTATCCAGATAAACTTTTAAAATGATAATAGTTGGTCTTTTAAATTAGATAAGCAGTGCTGGGAAAAATTCTTTTTTAAATGTAAAATAAAGTCTTAATTGCAAATTATATTTATGATATATGTGTATCGGACAGCAAATAACATGTTTATCTGATAGAATGGTGGAATTTAAGAGATGTTCAAATATTGTTCTCACTGATGAGCACATTTTGTTTGCTTTGTTTTACAAGTCCAACAGGTTGGGGACAACCTGTCAAATAGGGAACTATTCCCCAAATGAGTATAAATCCCTCATTTGAATAATCATTTGATAGTGCTAAATATTAAATTTTCTAAACTGGGTCTTTATACTTAAAATGGCACAAATTTATGGAAAATGAACAACTTCTTCCAAAGAACTATATTCTTATTTTGAGTGTTTAAAAAGTTAGCATTCTTGAAAATAATCAATTTTTCAACGTTTTCATTGGTTTGTAATGTTAGTAAAGTAAGGTTAGGGCTTTTCATCTTTTGGAAAATTTGCTGCATTTTCTATAAATATTTGCCATTTTTATTAAAATGACTGTTAAAAAATAGCACTATCAAATGATTACTCAAATGAGGGATTGTTACTCATTTGTGGAATAGTTCCCAATTTGGTGGGTTGTCCCTAAACCTATTCAATCTACCCAGGCAAAATATTCTTGTAACATGTAGCACACAAATTAGAAAACATACTGTAGAAGTTAAGTTTTATCATTGATGTTAGATATAAATTTTGCACAATTTGTTAAAAGGTAGCCTAGTCCAAATAATTATGACGTCTTGGAAGGCTATTTTAAATTTTTGCTTTGATGCCTTCCTGCGATGTAAGGCGTCAAAGAAAAAAATAGAATAGCCTTTCAAGACGTCATAATTATTTGGACTAAAGGTAGCCATTTTATAATATATATTTCTCTAATTCTTCGTCAATTTATCCCTTTCTGCACCCATTGTATAAAAAAAATTTAATCAACGTGTGGTTCGTTTGATCTCAGTTCTTCATTGGTTAAAATCCGATTATGACGTCGAATTTTCTTGCTTTCCTCTGAATTTCCTATTGTGACGGCATGAAAAAAGGCGACCATTCCTGATGACGTCACAAAGAAAGAACACATCTTTTTGCAGATCATTCAAAAAGAAGGAATAAGTTTGCCTGCAAATTGTTTGAAAAGGCCTAAAAAAAAAAATCTGTGTTTCCGGTAACATCATTTTGTTAAATAGGGTCGGTAGGTCAGATTTTTTTTTTTTTTTTTTTTTTTTTTTTTTTTGACATTGTAAACGAAATCCGGAAAATTATCATGGTTTATCCAAGTCTGTGTCCGTAATTAGTTTCAAATACTGGAAGTGCGGCCATTTGCAATGTTTTTGAAGCACCTGCTGTGCAAATTTCTTGGATTTTAACCTATTTCGAATACCTTTTGACATAAATAAAATGTTTTACTGGCGTTCTGTGCAGTTAGATAAATAATTATGTCGATTAACAGAAGCCCGTGTCAAAAACAGGGTCGGTTGATACCAATTTTTTTTTTTTTTTTGAAGATCCAATAAAAAAATTAGGGTCGGGGCTAAAAAAACAGGGTCGGTCGGGTTACCGGAAACACAGATTTTTTTTTTCTCGGCCAAATCATTAGAGAAAGAGATTCCACCACCAAATCTCGTGTAATACGATATTTATCCACTCTCGACAGTTAAATTTTAAATATTTAAAACGCTCGGCTAGCCTCGCGTTTAAAATTTGAAAATTTAACTGTCTCGAGTGGATAAATATCGTATCACACTCGATTCAGTGGTAGAATCTATATATATATCTGACAGTGGTATTCGCTGTGTTAATATAATTTACATGTTGTACAGATTTAACACAATTTTTAATGCCAGGGATAAGCAACCTCGAATTAGAACAAAAATTGTGACCAAGTGTCATTTTTATCGTTTGCAAGTTGAGTATCATGTGAATGCTTTTTTACAGGGAGAAGTGCTTGTGCTGCATAATTTTCCAAGTTTCTAGTGATGCAGAAACTTAAATTTTACATGAAATCTATCACAAAGAGGTACTCAATCGAGATGGTGTACCCAGATCAAGCTACAACAGCTCGAACTGAATCTAACGGAACCTGTAAGAAAGAATATGGAACAGGAAAAAGGGGGGAAAAGTGCTGCTACTAACAGACTACGGACTTCCAACTAAATTACTCATTTGTAGTTATTTCTAACAGTCAAAATATATGCAAAAATATGACACAATACTGTTTTATTTCATTTAGTCGTAAATAGTTTGGTATAAATGTGGAAAACTGAAATGTGAATCAGAGTGTATTTTCCACATGTTCTACCTTAGGTGATTGGTGAAAAAGAGGCCATGTCAGAACTTCTTTTTTCTTTTTTCCGGTTCCATGAATTATTAGAAATATGTCAAAATATTCTACTTATTAAAAGACAAAAATATATACTGTATAATAAATTAAAGAGTTATTAATTATATGATAAGTTTATAAATGAATTTGAACTTATTATCTATTGAACTACTTTTTAATCAGTTTTAAACCGGAAGTGAGCAAGCGCATTAATATATTTGTTTACAAATGGAGGATACGTGCAACTTTTTATTTTCTTATGCTATACATATGTCATCCACATACCCTGCTTTCATAATCAAATATATGTTAATATAGGCACATTTCATAAATGAGCTCAATTAAAAAATGCCCTGTTCCAGACATAAAAGATAAACGAGAAATACTTGGTGAACACTTGTATGTCAAAATTTCGCATATTATCAACACAGTCACAGGACATGTACAAGTATCTGAAAATTCAGAACTCATTAGTAAAGTAACTGGAATCCTTCTTGAACGAGAAGATGATGAATTATTGCGTATGCTTAGGGATGACAGTTTCTTGAGAAAGAGAGTTGAAGAAGTTGTATCCCATCCTGACATGTATGGTTCAATTATGTATATTTATATTTATTATACAGTATATATTTTGGTTAACTGTTATATTCTAATATGTTTTTATGGTATTCATTGTGATATATATTTCCCCTTTCAATGCTTTTAATTTACATCATTATTCTATTTAATTTCTGTTTCATTCTTATGTTCATATATATATATTTGCTATTATTGTATGCATTGTGATATATTTTCCTTCAATTTTATATGTTAAGCGCTTAGAGTATTATGTTTATTAGATAGGCACTATATAAAAGCTATGTAATAAATAAATAAATAAATAAATATATAGCTTTGAACTCTAGATATTAAATAGTCAAAGATCTTTCTTATGAGAGCAATCAATCGTGTTTCAAAAACAACATTGTACACAATAAATTGATTAGATATAAGCCTAAAAAGTGTTACAACTCCAGAATGAAAAAAATATACAAATATCAATAAATATTTCGGATGTTACAGATATATCCTTTATCAGTATGAACAACCTGAAGTAAAATGATGTCTATGCTGCTGATTTTCTGAAATCTTGGAACCACTATTACTAATAAAAATTTGTAAGGGTTCTGCAGAACCCAGTGTCTCGCCTACTTTTGCTGTTAATCGCAGGCTCAACAAAAATGAGGAAAAAAATTAATAAAAATATTCTTCTCTATACTATCTTTTGATTGTAAGTAGCTTCTGTCCAAGTTTGGTAAAAATCCAGGATAAATTATGAATCTAATAAATGTTTTTAAAACTTAAACTGCACACTGTATGTAATGTTAACTGGAAGAAAAACTAAGTCCATTTATAAGTAAAATACGGAAAAAATGGAACAACATTTTAACAAAATTTCCTTCTTGATACTAGCTTTTAATCATAAACTAGCTTCTGTCCAAGTCTGGTACAAATCCAAGATAGTTTAAGAAAGTTGTTAAAATTTTAAAAACTTTAACCACAGAGTGAATGTAATGTTAACTGGCAGAAAAACTAAGTTCATTTATAAGTAAAATACAGAAAAAATGGAATTTTTCTTTTACAAAATTTACTTCTGGATACTATCTTATGATCATAAATAAGCTTCTTTCCAAGTTTGGTAGAAATCCAGGATAGTTTAAGAAAGTTGTTAAAATTTCAAAAACTTTAACCATAGAGTGAATATTTGTGGACGCCGCCGACGGAATGTAGGATCGCTATGTCTCGCTTTTTCGACAAAAGTCAAAGGCTCGACAAAAATCTAACCATGCTTGAAGTAAAGTTACTTATTTCTAAAATCTGGAAGTAAATCATGCAAATTATAAGCTTTTACAAATTAAATCCAATATTTATTATTCCTATCAAGGTCCCACAGGGACAAGCAATAATTATAATTAGATACATACACAATATAAGCAACAACATGATACAGTATAATATAATGTGAAAGATATTGTGATAGATATGAATAAAATGCAGAATAAGTACATTAATTTGGATTGTTATGTCTAGTGATCCAACTCTGGTTAACATCAACATTATTTTCATTGCAGATTTATAGCGTTATATATAATTTAACAATTTATTCCATAAAAATATGAAATTCCAGGCCTGGTCAAACCAAAGAATTAAAAATTGGTATTTGCTGCTTCTCCGCTAAACATGCAGCATTTAGGAATAAGTCAAGAGCAAGGACTGGTGGGCTCTGATGCCAAATATGTCCTGGTAGCAGCTCTTTATTTTTATTGCAAATGAAAAATAAGCATTATGTCATGTTATTTGCATTCTTCGGAAAAGTTATAACATATTTACCTTGATAATAAGGAAGATATAGATATTTGTTGCTTGAGGGTGTCCCTTATGACTGCTAAATTATGAGTTGGAAAAATATGACTGTACGAAAATTATAATGCTTCCTTTCATACAAAGAGTAAATTGGATCAGCATTCTCAGAAATGAATACTACAAAAGGTATCTTAGTATAGAGGGAATTTGGGAAAAAAGTTTTTTCAGACTGAAAGACTGTACATGTATTTTCAGACTGTATTTGCAGCTTTAAAAAAACATTTTCTTTTACAGACAACCTATACCAGTAGATCCATATGAGCTAAAAGATGACTCAGACCATACATCATCCACAAATGAAGAATTTTTGTTTGATTCTGTCCAATCTCTTGACAGTGAACACTGCTCTAAAATAACAGGTACATTAACCATATGTAGGTTTATCCATTGGTACTGTGAACTATAAATATTACAAAAACCATGTGTGAAAGAGAGGCCAAATTTACCAAAGGGATATTAAAACTACGCCATGGCAAAAAAAAAAAAAAAAAAAAGACCAAAAGACAAACAATGGTATAAAAAAGACAACAAGGAAAACTAAAGACTGAGCAACACAAACTTGAAAGCTCTTTATTTAAGTTACCATCAACCAATTTTTTGGCATGTGTGTCTATTTTTCTAATTTTTTCCTGAATATGCATGACATACTTGCCACTGGAAATTAAGCAAACAACAATCAAGCAATGAACTAGTACACATTTTTGTTTAGGGGCCATCTGAAGCCCGCCTCCAGGTGCAGGATTTTCCTGCTGTGTTGAAGTCCCTTTGGTGGCCTTGGGCTGTTTTCTGCTGTTTGATCTGGTTGTTGTCTCGGACACATTCCCGTTTCCATTCTCAATTTTATTTTGATTAATAACAGATGGTCTCCTTCTAATTTAGCATCAACAGAATATCCATCTATTAATTATTGACAACAGAAACCATTTAATTCTTATCATTCTTTTACATTTTGTATAATATATAATTATTTTTCTATATGTATAAAAATAAGGAGGTGTGGTATGATTGCCTTTGAGACAACTATCCACCAGAGTTCAATGGTGAAGATAAAAGCAAGTATAGGTCACGGTACAGCCTTCAAGAATGAGAAAAACCCATTCCATACAGTCAGCTGTAAAAGGCCTGACATAAAAAATGTGAAAAAATTCAAATGAAAGTCTAATTTATACAATACATTTATGAAAAAACAAATATGGCAGACATGAGCAATTTCAGCAAAGGACAACCACTGAATTACACTGATTTGGGACAGGCACATATTATTTTATTCTAGTCTCATATGTTTTTAATTTATTCCATTGATATCTTTGACATCATTAATTATTTTATACTATGCATAAAGTTCCAGATTTATATCATATATGAAGATTTTTTTTATTATTATTAAAGATGGTAATTTATTTAATAGAAAAAAAGTCATTTTTGTCGAGCCTGCGACTTTTGTCGCAGAAAGATCGACATATGGATAGTGATCCTGTGTCGGCTACGGCGGCGACGGCAGCGGCGGCGGCGTGAGCTAACTTCTTAAAAGCTTTATAATTTAGAAGGTGGAAGACCTGGATGCTTCATACTTTGTATATAGATGCCTCATGTTACGAAGTTTCCGTCAGTCACATGACCAATGTCCTTGACCTCATTTTCATGGCTCAGTGACTACTGAAAAAAAAGTTAAGATTTTTTGTAATGTTAAATTCTCTCTTATTATAAGTAATAGGATAACTATATTTGGTATGTGCGTACCTTGCAAGGTTCTCATGCCCGTCAGACAGTTTTCACTTGACCTCGACCTCATTTCATGGATCAGTGAACAAGGTTAAGTTTTGGTGGTCAAGTCCATATCTCAGATACTATAAGCAATAGATCTAGTATATTTGGTGTATGGAAGGACTGTAAGGTGTACATGTCCAACTGGCAGGTGTCATCTGACCTTGACCTCATTTTCATGGTTCAGTGGTTATAGTTAAGTTTTTGTGTTTTGGTCTGTTTTTCTTATACTGTATGCAATAGGTCTACTATATTTGGTGTATGGAATGATTGTAAGGTGTACATGTCTAGCTGGGAGGTGTCATCTAACCTTGACCTCATTTTCATGGTTCAGTGGTCAAAGTTAAGTTTTTTAGTTTTGGTCTTTTTTTCTATTACTATATGCAATAGGTCAAATATATTGGGTGTATGGAAATATTTTATGATCTATATGTCAGTCGCCCAGGTTTTATTTGACCTTGACCTAATTTTCACGTTCATTGCTCAGTGTTTAGTTTTTGTCGAGCCTGCGACTTTTGTCGCAGAAAGCTCGACATAGGGATAGCGATCCGGCGGCGGCGGCGGCTACGGCGGCGGCGGCGGCGTTAGCTAACTTCTTAAAAGCTTTATATTTTAGAAGGTGGAAGGTCTGGATGCTTCATACTTTGTATATGGATGCCTCATGTTACGAAGTTTCCGTCAGTCACATGTCCAATGTCCTTGACCTCATTTTCATGGTTCAGTGACTACTTGAAAAAAAAGTTAAGATTTTTTGTAATGTTAGATTCTCTCTTATTATAAGTAATAAGATAACTATATTTGGTATGTGCGTACCTTGCAAGGTCCTCATGCCCGTCAGACAGTTTTCACTTGACCTCGACCTCATTTCATGGATCAGTGAACAAGGTTAAGTTTTGGTGGTCAAGTCCATATCTCAGATACTATAAGCAATAGGTCTAGTATATTCGGTGTATGGAAGGACTGTAAGGTGTACATGTCCAACTGGCAGGTGTCATCTGACCTTGACCTCATTTTCATGGTTCAGTGGTTATAGTTAAGTTTTTGTGTTTTGGTCTGTTTTTCTTATACTGTATGCCATAGGTCTACTATATTTGGTGTATGGAATGATTGTAAGGTGTACATGTCTAGCGGGCAGGTGTCATCTGACCTTGACCTTATTTTCATGGTTCAGTGGGCAAAGTTAAGTTTTTGAGTTTTGGTCTTTTTTTCTAATACTATGTGCAATAGTTCAACTATATTTGGTATGTGCGTACCTTGCAAGGTCCTCATGCCCGTCAGACAGTTTTCACTTGACCTCGACCTCATTTCATGGATCAATGAACAAGGTTAAGTTTTGGTGGTCAAGTCCATATCTCAGATACTATAAGCAATAGGTCTAGTATATTCGGTGTATGGAAGGACTGTAAGGTGTACATGTCCAACTGGCAGGTGTCATCTGACCTTGACCTCATTTTCATGGTTCAGTGGTTATAGTTAAGTTTTTGTGTTTTGGTCTGTTTTTCTTATACTGTATGCCATAGGTCTACTATATTTGGTGTATGTAATGATTGTAAGGTGTACATGTCTAGTGGGCAGGTGTCATCTGACCTTGACCTTATTTTCATGGTTCAGTGGGCAAAGTTAAGTTTTTGAGTTTTGGTCTTTTTTTCTAATACTATGTGCAATAGTTCAACTATATTTGGTATGTGCGTACCTTGCAAGGTCCTCATGCCCGTCAGACAGTTTTCACTTGACCTCGACCTCATTTCATGGATCAATGAACAAGGTTAAGTTTTGGTGGTCAAGTCCATATCTCAGATACTATAAGCAATAGGTCTAGTATATTTGGTGTATGGAAGGACTGTAAGGTGTACATGTCCAACTGGCAGGTGTCATCTGACCTTGACCTCATTTTCATGGTTCAGTGGTTATAGTTAAGTTTTTGTGTTTTGGTCTGTTTTTCTTATACTATATGCAATAGTTCAACTATATTTGGTGTATGGAAATATTTTATGATCTATTTGGCAGTCACGCAGGTTTTATTTGACCTTGACCTCATTTTCAAGGTTCATTGCTCAGTGTTAAGTTTTTGTGTTTTGGTCTGTTTTTCTTAAAATATAAGCAATAGGTCAACTCTATTTGTTGTATGGAAGAATTGTTAGCTGTACATGCCTGCCTAGCATGGTTCATCTGACCTTGACCTCATTTTCATGGTTCATTGGTCAATGTTTAGTTTACTTGGTTAATGTTAAGTTTATGTGACAGTTGTAATAAAGCTTTATATTTAGGACTATCAACATAATATCAATGATTAGTAAAGAAGGCGAGACATTTCAGCGTGTGCACTCTTGTTGTGTTTTGGTCTGTTTTTCTTTAACTATAAGCAATAGGTCAACTATATTTGTTGTATGGAAGAATTGTTAGCTGTACATGTCTGTCTGGCATGGTTCATCTGACCTTGACCTCATTTTCATGGTTCATTGGTCAATGTTTAGTTTTCTTGGTTAATGTTAAGTTTATGTGACAGTTGTAATAAAGCTTTATATTTAGGACTATCAACATAATATCAATGATTAGTAAAGAAGGCGAGACATTTCAGCGTGTGCACTCTTGTGTACTATAGGTATGATCCTGGAATTGGGAAAGGAAAATGTTGAAGTCTTGTTGCAAGATAATGAAAAGTTACAACTGGCTGTAGAGAAAGCCAGATTAGCCATTAATAGTAGTGAAAGAGATTTTATAGGAGAGATGTTGTACCAGAAGATTGAGACAGTATATCCAGAACATGTAGAGAAAATCACAGGTACATAATTTCAAAAATTTATCCAACATCAATATTTGTACCAGGAACATATGAAATAAGGCCACTGGAAGTTTAAAGTGTGTTATAAGCTTTGAGTTATTACTATTACATTTTCTACCATATATACCTGTAATGTACATGTCAAACAAAAATTAGAGAAATTGTTTCATCAAAAACCATGAAAGTTGTATGGAATATTCGAATTGGCGGAAGAAAGCTATCTTTTGATTTTGAAAATGTTTGTTTTTGTTTCAGAGCTACAGGACTTAAACTGTCTGATTAATGCAATTTTCAACATATCATGTATATTTATTTATTATTATGCTTGAATTTTTTCCTTAAAAAAAAACGACATTGTTGGAATTAATAAAAGGAAGCTCCCTTTAGATTTTGAAAATGCTCTGGAATTGATTTACTGGAATTTGGACCTAAAAATACCAGGCATCCCTCTGGTCTTGTAAGTGCTGCCCTACTTACATTTTGTTCATTTTTTTATGAATTTAATATATGTTAAAGGTTTATATTAGCAATGTTTTGGACATGGTAGAAAATATAATTTTGCTCCTTGGAAATGGCTATTCTATGGAAATTTCCATTTTAAGCACTCTCAAGCCTTCATTACTTGCTGGGATTTTTATAAAATTTATATCAAAGGTTTATATCTGGAATGTCTAGGAGGAGTTTATATCAGTACTGATCAACTATTTTTATGGGTGGAAAATTGCATTCTAGTGCTTTCATGTCTACATTTCTTGTCTGGTTTTTATGAAATTTATATCAAAGGTTTATACATGTATTGGCCATGCGTTGAACAAGTTTGAAATCAATGCTGATCAGCTATATTTTAGCTTCAATCTACTTTTTTTACAGGAGTTATGCTTCTTGGAAAGCTGAATGAAATTGGAAAATTGCAATGCACAAGAGCACTTATTCTTAAATTTCTTGTCATATTTTTATATCAAAGATTATCTTAGGAATTTTTCAGAAGAGTTCTATAATCAGTCCAGCTTAACTTTCTACATGGGAGTTATGTACTTTGGAAATAGAAATTATGGAAAATTGCACAGTAAGATTATGACAAGTTCCCACCCAAAGTAACACTTGATAATGAAAACAATTTCTTTGTATGCATTTTTCTCTTAAAAAATCACATGAAATTGTCAAACTTGATGTATCAAATAATTTACGGTGACATAATTTCGTGTGTATAATAAAATCAGGTAGTTGATAAAATAAACACAACATGTAGTTTCTTTTCAAGGTAGTAAATGAAATTGACTTTAGATACGATGATATGATTTTTGAGCACTACAAACTTGTATCTCCTGTAAACATGAAAACAGTTCTTCAATTTTTATGCCCCAGACGTAGCATAGGGGGCATTAAGGTTAACCCTGGTCCATCCGTACGTCCCGTAATGGGTTTCCATTCTCTAACTTTAGTTTCCATTGACCAAATGTCATGAGACTTATACACAGTAACAAAGCTTATTACCACAAAACTTAGGTCAAGTTTGAATTTGGGTTGCGTCACTTTTACCGTTTTTGAGTTTTGCCCATTTATAAATGGAAAAATTGCTGAATCTATCATTTCCGTTCTCTAACTTTAGTTTGCCTCAACCAAATGTTATGAAACTTATACACAATGCTTATTACAATAAAACACGGATCAAGTTCGAATTTGGGTGGCATCACTTTTACAGTTCTCTAGTTATGTCCCTTTATAATGTTATATGCAAGTGGGGCATCATCTGTGTCCCATGGACACATTCTCCATTTATTTTTCTGATGTTACTATTACAATGTTAGTGATATACACGATGCTTTTATAGTGTAGAATGGATTCAACATAATTTTATGGAGCTGCAAATGTGTCACATTCGTATCACAATTTGTATGACAAGTAGAAAGAACTACAAATGTGAATTCTGTCAGTTGTTTTACAACATACAAAAGTACAAATAATGTTATGATAAATTAATTTTCAGCTAAGTATCAGCAATGGAATAATATTTTCTCTAAAATTAATCCTAGAAAAAAGGAGATTTGGAGCATTTTGTATACTAAGTAGATATTTTATTTTATTTTGAAGGAATGTTGGTGGAGATGGAGACAGAGAAACTGAAGGACCTTTTACAAGATGAACACTTACTAAGACAATGTATAGACAAAGCTTATGCAGCATTAAATAAAGTATCATGACACTAATGTTTGTAGTCTGCAAAGTCTTTCAATGTACAGTGATTGTAAGGTGTACAAGTCCAACTGGCATGTGTCATATGACCTTGACCTCATTTTCATGGTTCAATGGTAAAAGTTAAGTTTTTGTGTTTTGGTCTTTTTTTCTGATACTATATGCAATAGGTCAACTATATTTGGTGTATGCAAATATTTTACAATGTACATGTCAGTCTGGCAGGTTTGAGTTGACCTTGACCTCATTTTCAAGGTTTATTGCTCAGTTTTAAGTTTTTGTGTTTTGGTCACAGGCACTTGTCTCCGAAAAAAAAATTAAGGTATATAGGATTTTTTTTTCTGAGACAAGTGCCTGTGAATTTGGTCTGTTTTTCTTAAACTAAACAATAGGTCAACTATATTTGGTGTATGGAATGATTGTAAGGTGTATATGTCTGTCTGGCAGGTATCATCTGACATTGACCTCATTTTCATGGTTCATTGGTCAATGTTAAATTTTCATGGTTAAGTTTGTTTCTTAGATACTTTAAGCAATAGGTCAACTATATCTAATGCATAGATTGACTGTAAGGTGTACATGTCTATCTGGCATGGTTCATCTGACCTTGACCTCATTTTCATGGTCATTGGTCAATGTAAAATTTTCCTTGTTAAGTTTGTTTCTTAGAAACTATAAGCAATAGGTCAACTATATTTTGTGTATGGAATGATTGTAAGGTGTACATGTATTTCCTGTTTGGTTTATCTGACCTTGGCCTCATTTTCTTGCATCATGTTAAGTTTATGTGATACTTGTAGTAAAGCTTTATATTTAGGACTATCAACATAAAATCAATGGTCAGTAAAGCAGGCGAGACATTTCAGCATGTGCACTCTTTTTTCACAAGTTTCTCTCTAGACTATCCTCTTTAGTTTTTGCCCAAGACACAAATAAGGGTAAAAAATCCTTCATTTAAGAGTCTACTAACTGACTTATTAGTAGGTCTTGTTTGGCTGATCATTTTTGTTATTTAATAATTGTATCATCAATCTTTTCAAGATAAAAGTCAAAAACACAAAAAATGGTAAAAAAGGAAGTAACTCGAATAAGGAGTTGACTTCGGAATTTAGCCATGTTGACTTATTTGTAGATTTTGTCTTGCTGATTATTTTTGATATTGGAAGTTTCTACCTATCTATAACATTTTCAAGATAAAATGTTGGAGTGTCCATTAATTTAGATGCACATTGACCTAGGTGAACAACTCAGGATCTTTAAAGCCTCTTGTTTATCTATGCACAATACATTAATTTTAAAACAAAATGTATGATGTTCTTAACATTGCTGGTATTTGAAAGTGACCTAAATTTTGAATCAAAGTATATATATATATAGTCACATTTATTGTGAGGTGTATTATACATTTGGTCACAAAAATAATCATAATCATAAATGGTATGATTGTAAATGAGACAACTATCTACTGAAGCCCATTTGACAAGGGTGTGAACAACATCACACCACTGCAAAGCCTTCAATCAACAGTGTCAGCAAAACCCATTCCATATACTGTGAATTCAAAGATTATTGCAATGTTTTTATTAATGCAAAAAATGTGACAGTACCAGGTTTGCAATTATAAAAACTCTCATTCATAATTTCAGTGGTGATCTTCCTTTGTAAAATGTTTGTAATCCCAATTATTAGAATTCACGTTTTTGATAATGGTAAAGGATTTGCAATTATAAATCCATACATCAAATCCTGATTTTACAGTAGTAGTAGGACTGTTTCATTAAAACATACATGGTACCAAGAAGCAATTTAGTAGACATATATACATTTTAAACTTGTACAACATAATAGTTGACACCACACATAAAGTGGCTTGTTCAAGTTGTCCTCCTAGTGTCCCATGAATGTTTTATGGAACAGGCCATAGCTATGAAAAACCTCAAGATTACAAAAGAGGAAACACAATGTTGTCTATGTCTGGATATTTTTTTGTGAGGGTACACAGATAATTCTTGACAAAGTTGAGTAAATGTACTGAATTGTAGACAATAGCTCAACAAAATGATCCTGACACCATGTCACATGAAATATATAACAAACATTCTGCCCCAAAAATATTCCAGCATGGAAATCATAGATGGTGAACGGATAAATTGACTGTTTCCAACTATGTATCACCAATTTGGAAATAAAAACACTAAATGGTTTCTGTGAGTGTCTCTGAAAGAAGATAAAATTGAGAATGGAAATGGGGAATGTGTCAAAGAGACAACAACCCGACCACAGAACAGACAACAGCAGAAGGCCACCAACAGGTCTTCAATGCAGCGAGAAATTCCCGCACCCGGAGGCGTCCTTCAGCTGGCCCCTAAACAAATATATATACTAGTTCAGTGATAATGAACGCCATACTAAACTCCAAATTGTACACAAGAAACTAAAATTAAAAATAATACAAGACTAACAAAGGCTAGAGGCTCCTGACTTGGGACAGGCGCAAAAATGCGGCGGGGTTAAACATGTTTATGAGATCTCAACCCTCCCCCTATACATCTAGCCAATGTAGAAAAGTAAACGCATAACAATACGCACATTAAAATTCAGTTCAAGAGAAGTCCGAGTCTGATGTCAGAAGATGTAACCAAAGAAAATAAACAAAATGACAATAATACATAAATAACAACAGACTACTAGCAGTTAACTGACATGCCAGCTCCAGACTTCAATTAAACTGATTGAAAGATTATGTCTTCATCATATGAATATCAGGCACAATCCTTCCCGTTAGGGGTTTAGTATCATACCATCATAACATATATGAGAAGAACATAACCCGTGTCATGCCAACAACTGGTTTTTAAATAAATGTGTTTAGTGCCGATGCAAAGAACACATTTGACCACTGGTTAAGGTAATAAAATTACTGGACAGCCATCTTTTCCCAAAAACTTCCATTTCTAATTAAAAAAAATCACTAACCAAGTTCATCATCTATTGGTAAATTTAATAGTTGAAAATAACATAACTGAATGCTGACAATATGTGCACACCACAAGTAATGTAACAAAAAAATTTAACAAATGAAAGCCTCTTCTTACATAATTCAAAAAGTTAGTGGATAAACCATGTATTTTTTTGGTTGGTAGAATGACATACTCTCCTACTAATATCTAGCCATTTATGGTGCATATTTTTGTTCAAGAAAGTTAATTACTAGTTTGTATCGCGTATGATGTTGTAAACAGACACAATTATTTTAACCATTTGGGTCAGTAAGCCTGTGTTTATAGCTTGAAAGACTGAACATGACCCACTTATATATTCATATCAAAATGGTAGTTTCAGATCAAAATCAATACTGGGAGTTCATAATTAGTTTTGAGATATTTTTTCAATGATTTCATTGGTCGATGGCGAACCACAAATTTAAATGTTCAGTGAAGTACAAATTTTCTTTAGGCAAACTTTGGCAAAACCACAAAATCAAACATCCAATTTTTCCTCAATCCATGAAAATAAATTAATCCATTACATACAAGTGGAAAGAATAAAACATCAGTCTTCCACATCTACCATTTCACCTTGTTTTCTTAATTAACAAATATTTTAAACCTGTAATTTTTTCAAACCATTTTTTATAAAATGGATGATTGATGAGTTCAAAAATTTGAGTATCAACCAAAGATGAAGAACTGGATCTTCCATCACTGTATTAATTACCTAAACTACATAAGTGTCCTTACAAACAACATTATATTGCTTGGTCTTTCAAGTGCTCCACAAAACCTCTTTCTAAATTATTAACATCAATTTTATCAGCAATCAAAGCCGGGCTTCAAAGTTATTGTGAAACTATCTATTCTAGAGGTGGCTTGAAATAGATGTGAATGCAAGTAAAAAATTCCAAACATCTTTTAGAGTACATACAATCTAGGACTCTTTCATCTTGCAATAGCATTAAAACATTTTACTTTTCTACACTTTACACAGTATTCCCCATTCCAAACTAAAAGACAAATTGAAAGAGTTGGTCCTGCTTTGATTCATAAAATAGAATTGCCAACATAGATACAAGTATCTTGTCTTAGGGAGGGATAAATCATACTTTTTAAAAAATCACACGGATTCAAACAAAAAAATCTCTAAAACTGACATTATCAAGATGTTTGATTTCTTGTTTGACAACATATTGGTTACATTTGGAGGACGTGTTTTTCAACAAACAATCGGTATTCCCATTGGAACCAACTGTGCTTCTTTTCTTGCCGAATTTTTCCTTTGTTCATATGAGGCAGACTTCATACAGGAACTTCTTAGGAAGAAAGAAAAGAAGTTAGCAGTATCCTTTAACTTTCCTTTCCTCAAAATAGATGATGTTCTCTCACTAAATAATTCAAAATTTGGGACCATGTTGAACGCATCTATCTCATCGAACTTGAAATAAAGGATACAACAGATACAATTAAGTCTGCCTCATATCTTGGCTTACATCTAGAAATTGACAATGAGGGTTGTTTGAAAGCAAAACTTTATGACAAAAGAGATGATTTCAGCTTCCCAATTGTGAACTTTCCATTTTTATGTAGCAACATTCCAACAGCACCTGTATATGGAGTATTTATCTCCCAGTTGATATGATAATCCAGGGCTTGTATTTCCTATCATGATTTCCTTGATAGAGGGTTGCTGCTGACAAGGAAGCTATTTAACCAAGAGTTCCAAAAGGTGAAGTTGAAATCATTACTTCATAAATTTTAAGGATGCCATCACGAGTTGGTTGACCGTTATGGAATATCTGTTTCACTGATGACAGCGGACATGTTCCAATTGTCATAACTATAATCAATTTCACTTTCCCCCGAATGTGACCTTCTGAATTACTTATTACCGGGTTTGTATTAACATGAGCAACAAGACGGGTGCCACATGTGGAGCAGGATCTGCTTACCCTTCCAGATCAACTGAGATCCCCCAGTTTTTGGTGGGGTTCATGTTGCTCAGGATTTAGTTTTCTATG